GGGCGGGGGGTGTGGAGGTGTTGCCTGGTAACGGTGAAGTCCACATGTGGCAGCTGTTGAGTTTTCAGGATTTTAAAACTTTCTAGTGACAAGGTTCATAAAGATGTTTTGGCTAGAGATCTTTAAACACATATATGGGTCCTTTGTAACAAAACTGGATTACCCAGCCTTGCCATAAACTTGAAAAGAGAAGAGAATTCATGTTTTTATTTTCCCCATTATGAGCCTGTGTATATTATGAGTCTCTTTAAATTTAATTTATTAAGTTAAATTCTGAGTTCACATAATTTGAGACTAATTTTATTAATTGATTGTGTTCAGGTGTCACAAAAACATATCTATATCATACTGTAAGATCACATTTAACTATATATACAGGTGCATCTCAATAAATTAGAATGTCGTGGAAAAGTTCATTTATTTCAGTAATTCAACTCAAATTGTGAAACTCATGTATTAAATAAATAATTTATTGAGATGCACCTGTATATATATATAATTGTAATTCCATGTATTCTCAGTGTTGATTCATTAGATTTAATGCAGTAACAATTGCTGTAATTGTTTTTAAAATCAGTATAAAGGCAGTACAACAATAGTTTCATAATTAATACTGTTTATTTACTACTATTTATTATTTATTTATTTAATTTTTATTATTTTTTTATTTACAAAATTATGGTACTCAGAATTGTCTATTCTTAATTGCCAAAATGCGAAAAACATATTTATTATGTTTTTCTTTTGATTTTAGTGAGAAATATGGTCTGCACATCTTTTTGACAGGTTTCGTGAGATTCCCTTTCTGTGTGAGCTGAACTGCTGTCATATATCTTATGTATTTTTTGTCTCTCTCTCTCTCTGTAGGTGTCACTTCGTAAGCAGGAGATTGCTGATCGACTGAATGCCTGGATCATTTTCAATGAGAAGAATCGGGAGCTGTGTGAATGGCTGACACAGATGGAAAACAATGTGGCACACAGTGCTGAGCTGAGCATTGAGGAAATGGTGGAGAAACTCAAGAAGGTGAGACAAAGCTCTTCGATCACCCAGCATAAACCACCTCAGATACACTGTACTGTCTGATCCAGCATTTCACTGTATTTTGCTAAATCTAAATAGCAAAACGAATATTTATTCCACATTTATTTGCTTTCATTTTCTTGCTAAATTTCCTGTTTCACTTAATGTTTGTAAGCAAACAAACAACAAGAGTATGACTCTCAAAATATTAATCATTATTACTTTCCTCGCCCACTTACACTCAAATATTGACTCTCTTCAGGATTGTATGGAGGAGATCAACCTCTTTAGTGAGAATAAGACACATCTGAAACAGCTGGGAGAACAACTCATCACTGCTAGCAACAAAACCAAAGAAACAGACATCAATGACAAGATCAAGGACATCAATGACCGCTGGCAGCATCTGTTTGATCACATCGAGGCCAGGTAAGACCCTGAGCATGGTCACGCTGAAATACACCAAATCAGATGCAGTACATAACACTCCTTTACTATAAATACTGCTAGAATGTGACCATAAAACTGTGATGCACAAGTAACTTGAGAACTTTGGCTTTTTAAAAGCACTTGTGTCATGGGATATGAACTGCTTTCAAAGTACTTTGTAAAGCACAGTGATGTTAATCTGACATTGATCCAATTCATCTCAGTCACACTTTATTTAACAGACAGGAAGTGCAGTTTGTCACATTCAATGCAGCATAAACATTAGCTCCACTGAGTCAGAAACTGCAAGAGAGAGAGATTGAAATGTAGACATACACGTGGCGTCAGTCTAGATGGGCGGTATCAGGGTGGATGAAGCGTATGGAGGGGGTTGGTTTGTCCTGCTCTTCATTTGATTGACAGCTCTTTGATTAGACAGATGGTAGCTGTAGCTTCATGATACATTGCTGGCCAGCTTGTTGACTTCTTGTCTCCAAGTCTGCTTTTCTTTTCTGCATTTTCTCTGGTCTTCGGTTCTGGATCTCTGGGATCATCATAAAGTACATTCAATGCATCTATATTGATTTTTTGTTAAGAAACATTAAAAGAAACATTATTTTCTTAACAAAAGGCACATTTCAATAATCTAAAGAACCTTTTGTGTAGTGGAAATTTCCATGGATTTTGAAAGTTCTTCTTGGAACCATCAATGTCAGTAAAGATCTTCAAAATTCAAAATACAGCTGGAACACTGTGACAGTAAGCAGATCAGCTGGTGGAATGTAATTTAATGTAATTGTGTTGCTTAAACAAGCCTCTTAGGAGAGGGTTTGGAGGTTATAAGGGGAAGAAGCCGGTGGCCTGTTGCACTCTTTACCTGCAGCTTCCTCTTCCCTTAAAAACTGGCAGCGTTATTGTGTTAGTAGCATGCTTGCTTGTTTTAATCCGGTTTGCAAACAGGCGGGCAGACAAATATTGCCTTGCTACAAACATTTCTATCATAGTTCCCAGCCGAGCAGATTCCTGAATGTCTATAAGCGGTTTGAATGTTAACTCTGGCTCTGTGCCACTAATGTCAAGGTTTTAGAGCTAACACTGGCTGTGCAGGTGCATGTAGACACTAAAAATAGCGTTGTGGATCAGTAGGTAACCAGGCACGAGATCTGCCTGTTTGTCGGCTCTCACCTTGAGCTGGAGCTTTACGCCTGTCAAAGTTATTTACAAAGTTTGGGGTCACTAAGATTGATAATATTACAATATCAAATAAATGCTGTTCTTTTGAACTTTCTATTCATCCTGAAAAAAGCAACATCATTTTTTTCAACACTGATAATAATAAGAAATTTTCTCAGCATATTAGATTGATTTCTGAAGGATCACGTGACACTGAAGACAGGAGTAATGGCTGCTGAAAATTTGGCTTTGCCATCACAAGAATAAATTACATTTATATTACATTAAAATATAAACTATTTTAATTAGAAGAAATAATTTTAAATTGTAATAATATTCTACAATATTACTGTTTTTACTTTAACTTATAAATGCAGCTTTGGTGAGCATTAGAAACTTCTTTCAAAACCATTAAAAAATGTACTGCCCCTAAACTTTTGAATGGCAGTTTATGTGTATATATTTGTGTGTGTCACTCACACAAACTTGCAAATGGGAATGTGTGATTGAGACAAGTCTCTAAGCAGGATTACAGAAGTTGACACAGACACGTCCGACTCTTTTGTCAGCTAAAATCACAGCAGAGTACACCCTCACAGCATCTGCACACGCGGCAGCTGCTGTCTGCTAGCGCGGGGCTTTGTGTCCACTCGCTGTCCCATAAGTATTCTGTCTACATTTATTGTGTCCCTCGGCCAATCAGCGTCAAAGCTCTGTCCTTCTGCTCTTCTGCTATTCGCTGAGTGATGGCAGCCATTGTATTATTGAACCCTTGGTGTCTTACAAAACCCTGCTCACTGTTGCTGGACAAAGGACCAACATGGGACAGATGTTATGTTGAAAACACCCCCGCTGAACACACTCATAAGCAATCTTGAAGATTCCTATTCAGGAAAGGTCATTAAAACTCTACTCCCTGTTTTAAGGACTCTTTTGTGGGTGGTTTGTATGAGGAAATTTGTTTTCCTGTTTCCACTCAGAAGTTTAGACACCTGTAGCTGGAAGTGTTTCTATGGCCATAAGCTTATTTTAGGGTGTGTGACAGCATTGCCTGTTTGTGTGTGTGCGTTTTTTTTTTTTTTTGGTCTCCTCACAAATAAGATTCCACGTTTTAACAATCTTTATACACCATGACTATCATCCTGAATGGATATCGAATACTGACTAACCGTGAAGTGGGACGATTGAATTAAAGAGAGCTGAAGTGTGCTCTGAATCTTCCCAACACCCGTGAATTACTCTCTTCTAAAGACTGAAAGATTTTGACAAGCAGCTCTTCCTATATGAGGCCCACCAACGTGGTTCCCTGTGGCCCAGATTTATCTTTATTTAACTCATTTAGCTGAAGTGCTTGAAATTAAGCATGCCAGAGAAATTTGAACCTGAAACAATTACTACAAATTAACTCGATTTTAATATGAGTGGTACTTGTCTGTCCAAAACATGTTGGAAGATGCAAGACATGTCCCAAATGATGCATTATATGCTACACACTTATACCCTGCATTGTCTATCTAGTGTATGAATTTGATGTTATTTTGTCATCCAGCATTAGATTCTGACAGTCTCTGTCTTTCTACTATGTAAGGAAAGCTGTTGAGTGTGTGAAGTGTCCAACATTCCACACTTCTTTTTTTTTTTTTTTTTCAGTTAAGTGCATCGTCTGGGTATTTGAAGTGCACTTTTACTTCTTGGAATTGTTACTGCTACTGTATGCAGTTGTTCTGAGTGGGTTTTTAGCATGTTCCTAGGTGGTTGCTAGTGTAGCTAGAGTGTTCTGTGTTGAAGATGTTTCTATGTTTTGTTTCTATGTGTTCTTTTAAGTTGCCTTGATCATTAGTGAAGTTCCCCCACCTGTTGCTTAGAGAATGGCACAGTGTTCTTCTGGGATTAATAATCTGTTCAGGATAGGTTTGGATTTAATTAGTTTTGGCCCATGGAACATAATCTCAGACCACAGAGGACTACAACACATGTAGACGTCCCTGTTTGAACTCTTATGAACTCACACAAAGACAAACATACTTTTGATGTATTTTACTGTTTTCTTAACTGTGGTTAGGCAACAATCTCATATGTGAAAGAAAATGACTTTCAAAAGTACCTGATGCTGTCTAACCTGCTCAGGTAATTACTACCTGTTTGCCCGACGCTAGTTTTGCACATTCAGGCTCGCCCTGTACACCCATAATGCCACATACAACAAATAAATGATGCTAGAGTTTTTCACAGAAATAGCTTAATGTTTCTGGTCCTCTACGTATTTATATTTGTTTGTTTGTTTGTTTGTTTTTTAGCTGGTTTCAATTGATTAATTAATACAACCAGTCCTTAAAGTTAACTACTGAAATTGAGAATGTAAGGGATAAGATGAATTCTTTTTGTTTAACTTTTGATACATAAATAGGATTTGGTTGCCTTTGTGTGTTACCTACAATCAGTGTTAGGGGAAGTTATGCATTACAATATTGCATAAAAAAGTAACTCAAATTGTGTTACTTGGTTACTTTTTGTGGAAAGTAATGCTTTACGTTACTTTTGCATTCCTTTTTGTCACCTGGGATGGGCTTAATTGTTTATTTTTAATAACAAAAACCCCAAAAGTTATTTTTTTGGCAACTGTAAAGGCCCTTTCACATCAAAAGTGAAATTACTAAGCCTCAGGCTAAAGGAAGTGCCTCTGCCTTTGTTTCTCACTCCCAATTTCTCTCAACATGGGGGACAGGAGAGATGTGAGTGAATAGATGGGAAAACAAAGTTACTTGCATTACTTATTTGGAAAAGTAACTCAGATATTTTCTTGTAAATTTTATGCGTTACTTTACTTGTATGTAAATCGCATTACTTGTAATGTGTAACCCCCAACGCTGTCTGCAATCACGCTTGCTACATTAACGACTCAAGACAATTGTGCTTTACATTTAATATTCAGATTTGATTTCTGTATCAGATTGTCATAATAAAATGCATAACACTCTCCACAAGATTCCTGTAACACATCTCTAAAATACTTGCTCATGCCAAAATGATGTTTGTGATATGACAGTCTATAAATGTTCCTAAATATTTAAAACTACTGGCTGTAGCCTATTTGTAATGCAGTTGAAGAAAGTGATGGGAACATGGAGTATCCTCACCATCTCCACTGTAAATGTGATCTCTTGGTCATTCAGTGAGAGGGAGAGAGAGGGGGGTTGAATATGAGAGAGGGACAGGAGGGTGGGAGTATGGAAACAGATTAGACTCAATAATAATTCACGCAAAAGACACGATGCACACATGTGTATCCCAATTCACATGCATGAAACCCAATTCACGTGCACGAAAAAAATATATATATTCACAAAAACCAATTCACGTGCACAAAATATTGTCATGCATATTTGTCAAATATTTCATGCATGTGAATTGGGATATGCATGTGTGCGTCGTGTCTTTTGCGTGAATTATTATTGAGTCTAATCTGCTTCCATATGGGAGTAATGTATACAGCAGTTCACTGTCTGTGAGACGAGCTTGTGTGAGATCAGCCACAGCCATTAAGACAGATATGCTAACGCTAACACGAAAGAGCCATGGAGCCTCACCAGTCTACGAGTAAGTGTTTGCTAATTGCACACACACAGGGCTTTCGTGTAAGCATGCATGTTTTGTGAGAGGGGGATGGGCAGTGCTTTTGTCAGTGTGTGTTCTGTGGCTAACACTAGCTTCAGTGCAGGACTGATCAGATTCTGCTTTGCATGGAAACACACTTGTTTCTAGGGAGGATGTGCATGCTGGTGATGTGCAGATGGTGCATGTTCTCAATTCTAAACAGATATGCACCAAAATCAGGCTGTAAAGAACATCCTAGATGCATGCATTTGGAATTATGCAATTACTAATGCTTTATTTAAAGAGTATATCTTTCTAAATCTTGTCATCTTTTAAGGCTTTTATGTTTATATTGATGTGATACAGAGTACATCTTGTCTCATTACCTTATTTCATTGCACCAAATATTGACTTCATGCATCTGTTATTTTAGGTGTATTTTCCCATTTTGCGTGTGATAAATGCAAATAATGCTTATGTTTGTCACAGTAAGAATAAACCCTCTGATAGGCACAGCAAATGCTTCAATGCTGTGTGATGTCACTTCTTCCACATCAGCACTCCGGTTTGTTTTGATCGGACCTCCATTGGAAATGTCACATGACTGTGAAGGAATGCCCCCATCCTCTTAGTCACATGACGTCACTCTTAGAGTGACGTGAAAGCTGTCTACATGCTCAGATAGTCCTAACACTGAGTGTTCTGGTCTGGGTTGAATAGATTGCGACAGAAGGACCAGACGTGGGTCACTGCACACTCAAACCTAATAAAAAGCCTTTTGTCCTGCATTGTGTCTTTGTAAACCTCAGCTGGCAGGCTAGCTATAGGAATGACACTAGGTCAAGGAATGTTTGCTTGTTATGTGAACTGTTCCTCATGCACCACACAGAACAAAACTCACTGCAAGAATCCATTTCTATATCCATATCTTATAGGTTTCTAAAGTAAAAATCCCATTCATTGTCTCCATAGGAATTTTTTTGCGATAACTTATAAACTAGGGTGACCATACGTGCCATTTTCCCAGGACGTGTCCTGGACTAAAAAAGTGGACAGACACTGTTGCACTCTATAGAAGAAATGATGACTGTGACTGACTACCGTTTTACAGGAAAGCAAATGTCCAACCAATCAAAACTCTTAACTGCTGTTAAGTGATACACACAATGTGATAGACAAAAGTTGTGATACACAAAAGACTCGAGTTCGAGTCCCAGCTTAAGGTCTTTTCCCAATTCTGTTCCTGTCTCCCCTCTTACTGCTTCCTGTCTCCTCTTACACTGTCTCCTCTTACAATTAAGGTATTGAAAGACTGACTGATTGTATTTCAGGGTGAGGAAGCTGAAGGAGACGCTGGTGACAGTGCAGCAGCTGGATAAGAACATGAGTAATCTCCGTACCTGGCTTTCCCGCGTTGAGGGTGAACTGGCCAAACCCATCATTTACAGCATCTGCCACAGTGATGAGATACAGCGCAAACTAGCAGAGCATCAGGTAGTCGGTGCATTCATTAACAAAACCACAATAACTAATATATATGTTTAAAGCGCACAATGCGTTTTGAGGTAGATTTCTCTAAGCGCCAATGCTTTATAGGGTGAGTATAAGTAAAGAGAGACACTAAAGCTTATTCATCTTTACCATTAAGTGTATATAACTGCATTATTGAATTTATTTTCTTTTAGTCACAATACAACATTTGTAATGTTACAAAAGATTTCTATTTCAAATAAATGCTGTTTTTTTTACTTTCTATTCATTAAAGAATCCTGAAAATATGTATGAAAGTTTAAATTAAAATATCAAGCAGCACAACTGTTTATATCAATAAGAAATGTTTCTTGAGCAGCAAATCAGCATATTACAATGATTTCTGAAGGATCATGTGACACCGAAGACTGAAAGTTTAGCTTTGCCATCACAGAAATAAATTTAAATAAATTAAAATAGAAAATAGTTATTTTAAATTGTAATAATATTTCACAACATTACAGTTTTTACTGTGTTTTTAATGTGTTTTTAATCAAATACATGCAGCCTTGGTGAGCATAAGAAACTTCTTTTAAAACATAAAAAAATATTACCAACCCTATAGTTTTGAACAGTACTTTTTATTATATATTCAATTCTCAAATACTGACTGGTTTGGAAATGGCACCTAATAAACCTAAAAACCTGAGAAAATGTTAAAATTAATTGCATCTCTGACCTTCAATTCTTCGTTTCCATGACAACAAAGTGTACCTTTTTTGGGCAAACCTCAATTTTCTCAAATGTTTCTGAACTCTAAATGCTTCTCCTCTGTGCAGCACTTCACGTCTCAACGTGAAGACTTTGAAGGAACACGGGAGGGGATTCTGGTCTGGCTGACTGAAATGGACCTTCAGCTCACCAATGTGGAGCATTTTTCGGAGAGCGATATCCATGAAAAGATGCGTCAACTAAACGTACGGTACACTCTGATTTTATGTATAAAAGTCTGGTTACACAATCAGAATGGAAAATAATTTGTGATTTGACTTCCTGCAGGCATTTCAGCAGGAGATCACTCTAAACACAGATAAGATCGATGCTCTGATTGTATTTGGAGAGAACCTGATCCAGAAGAGTGCTCCACTGGACGCCGTACTCATTGAAGATGAACTAGAGGAGCTGCACTCATACTGCCAGGAAGTATTTGGCAGAGTCGCCCGATTCCACCACCGTCTTATCAGCAGACGCCCAGTCAGTTTGAAACGACTCATCTCACAAACACTGAACGATACTCTCATGACTGAGTACTGACTTTAACCCTTCCCACTTTTTTCTTCTCATAGGTGCGTGAGGAGGACCGAGAGTTCTCAGACAGAGACACAGATCCAGAGGGCTCGGCTGATTTCAGTGGGGTGTGGGAGAGGGAGGAGGAAGAGGAGGCTGCGATGAGTTCTGATGTTTCTCTAACAGTACGCCAGGCCGTGTCCCAGCTGATACCACCTGCTCTAGAGCGCTCAGGGCGTGAGACCCCCGTCAGTGTGGATTCAATCCCACTGGAGTGGGACCACACCGTAGATGTGGGTGGATCTTCATCTCCAGAGGATGATGAGGAGTTGACGTTCTACAGCGCCCTATCAGGTAACTCTTTAAAGACTAGTCTCTGCAGTTCTATTAAAGTGTATCTAGATCTGTCTGTCTGTTATAGGACGCTCTGTTAGAGTTTCTAGATCTCTGTTTTTGCTATATGTTGCACTATTAGGGTCTTTCTAGATTTCTTTGTCTCTTACATGACACTCTGTTAGAGTGCCCAGATAGTTAGAGTCTAACTCTGTTAGAGTATATCTATCACTGTCTGTAATCTGCCGCTCTGTTGATCTCTTTATCTGCTATCTACTGCACTTTTAGGTAAATGTCGAGCTATTTTTGCTGCTTGTTTAAAGAGAATCTAGATCTCTGTCTGTTATTGGATTCTCTATTTGAGTGTTTTAGATGTCCTTGTATACTATCCAGTGCTGTATTAGTGTATATAGATGCACTAGTAATCTGTAATGCTGTATCAAGATCTCTTTATCTATTATATGAGTCATTCTACAATTTAGGGTACATTTCATGTCCATTGATGATCATAACAATTTTCTTGACAAAAATAATATTTTATTAATTGAAATTACCTTGATGTCCCTTAAATTACCGTTTTTGCAGTGTCCATTTTTTTGTCATTGGGTTTTGAGTTCAAAGTAATTATTCAAAAAAATTGAATATTATCATCAAATATAATATAAATATCAAAAATCAATATCATATTAAATGAATTTCTAAAAAATTATTTGTTTCTGCAGTATTTATTTCCACAACTTTCTGTCAACTATGTTACTAACTACAACCACCTGCAACTAAGAAATGGCTGATATAGTTAAAAAACACCAAATGCAGTATCAGTTTATCAGTAAATTTGATAAACAATTACAAAGAAATGGACAATAACACACTGAATTACAGGAAATGTGCAATTTTTAAGTATAGAAAAACTGAAATAGTATTTTCTTGAAAATTTCTAAAAAATTATTTGTTTCTGCAGTATTTATTTCCACAGCTTTCTGTCAACTATGTTACTAACTGTATAACCACCTGCAACTAAGAAATGGCTGATATAGTTAAAAAACACCAAATGCAGTATCAGTTTATCAGTAAATTTGATAAACAATTACAAAGAAATGGACAATAACACACTGAATTACAGGAAATGTGCAATTTTTAAGTATAGAAAAACTGAAATAGTATTTTCTTGAAAAACTCCAATAATTTTTATCTGTAACTTTGAAAAATCTCTTTTCAGTGTTATTTTAAAATGGCGTTTTAATGATTAAGCTTGGCAAGTAGCATATGTTGCACTGATGAAATATATGAAGAAACCAATAGTCTTTTTGTTGAGAAAGCATGTTGTTTTTGCATTTTTCATTGCTGTGAAATGTACCCCAATTATCGAATGATCCATATGATGAATTAGATTGGTGTAACTAGAGCTGTTATTCAATGCTCTAGTAGTGTATCTGCTGTACATCTTCTTGTTTTCTGCCTCCCTGTTATACTGTATCTAGATCTCTGTCTGTTAAATTACTCTCTATTAGTCTAGATTATTTTGTCTCTAGATCACTGTCTGTCTGCCACTCTTCTGTTGCAGATGTAGAAGTCACTGAGAGCTCTCAGTCATTTATTAAAGCTACATCTAAAGCTCTGAAGGCTGTGCCCGGTAGGCATCAGCCTGCTGCATGCTGTCAGCACTGTCACTGCACATTACATGCGTGCTTTAGTATATGTTTCCTTCATTCATCTCTAAATATAATAGATATTTTATGCCTTATAGTCACTGCCTGACTGCTTAACAACTTCCTCTCTCAAGCAGGTGCCCGTGTTCTTGAAATCCCTTGATGCTTGTTTTTATGTTTGCCAAGAATCTTCTCCTGCATATGTCGCAGTACATGTTCAAACAGATGTTTTTCATAATGCACGTCAGTTTTGCAACCAATTGCATCTTTATTGTTTTTTTGTTGTGCAACTGAGTGATGACTTCCTGCATGCTTGTTTTAAGTGATATAAGGAGTTAAAATATCTCTCTCTGTCTCTCGCTTAGGGGGAAGGTCAGTGGTGGAGCCGTGGCACTCTTCTGATGCGCCAGACAGGAAGCGAGCAAACAGAGAAATCATACGCAGTCTCACATCTTCACCCACTGACACCAGCGCTCAGTACCACCCACAGGCCTATGTGAGTCCTCACACATGCATCACACTCAATAACACACATTAATATTGGCGCACACATATAAACACATTTTGTGTTGTATTTCCTCTTTCTCTCCAGGATAAACTCATGTTTGAGTGTGCTGGTAGTATAGACAGTATAAAGCGAGTGAAACTGATTCTGTGCGAGGAAGAACAACTGGACGATCATGGTTTGACGGCACTCTCTGCAGCTGATAAGACGGGTATTGCTATTTGTAATACTTTTACAGAAATGTTCATACATGAGTTGAGTTTCAGTCATATCTGACCTTTGCCCTCTGATCTGTGGCGTCAGGTGTGATCGAGCGATGGGAGCTCCTGCAGGTTCAGTCATGCAGCGTGCCACAGGATCTTCAGCAGTGGCACAAACTCAACTCTGACCTCACTGATGTCATGGCATGGCTGGACACTGTGATGCCTGAGCTAGAGAAGCTTCAAACTCTAGAGCCAAAAATCACCATCAGAGACATGGAGAGCAATATCCACAAACTAAAGGTACTTACTTGCAGAGACATTTAGAGAGTGATAGGATCGGACACAAACAAAGTTTATAAAACAATGCACTTGAGAGAGTGCATTTTTATTAATAATTTATATTTATATATTTTAAATATACACTGCCGTTCAAAAGTTTGGGATCAGTACTATTTTTAATGTTTTTAAAAGAAGTTTCTTCTGCTCATAAGTGCTGCATTTATTTGGTCAAAAATACAGAAAAAACAGCAATATTGTGAAATATTATTGCAATTTTACATTTCTCTGTTTTCAATGTGAATATTTTGTAAAATATAATTTATTCCTGTGATGCAAACCTGATCACAGAAATAAAAAAGCATCACAGGTTCCAAAAAATATTAAGCAACACAACTGTTTCCAACATCGATAATAAATCAGCATATTAGATTGGAATGATTTCTGAAGGATCATGTGACACTGAAGACTGGAGTAGTGATGATGAAAATTCAGCTTTGCATCACAGGAATAAATAATTTTTTTAAGTATATTAAAATAGAAAACAGTTCATTTAAATTGTTATAATTTCACAATTTTACTGTTTTTTTCTGTATTTTTGATCAAATAAACGCAGCCTTAGTGAGCAGAATAGACTTAAGCAACATTAAAAATCTTACTTATCACACATTTTTGAACAGCACTGTATATACTTCTATAATGATTTCTTTTTCAAATAAATGTTGTTCTTTTGAACTTTCTGTTCATCAAAGAATCCTGAAAAAATGTATCATGGTATCCACAAAAATATTAAGCAGCACAACTGTTTTCAATATTTATAATAATATGAATATAAAAATGTTTGTTTTTTTTTGAGCATCAAATCAGTATATTAGAATGATTTCTGACGGATCATGTGACACTGAAGACTGGAGTAATGGCTGTTGTAAATTCAGCTTTGACATCACCTAAATAAATTACCTTGTAAAATATATTAAAATAAAAAACTGATTTTTTTTATTGCAATAATTTTTCACAATATTATTGTTTTTACTGTATTTTTAGTCAAATAAATGCAGCTTTGGTGAGCAAACATTTGAATGGTAATGTGTATTATTTAGGCATATACCTTATAGGTTCATTTTCTCATTTTGTTTTTCATAAGGACATGCAGAGGACTTTTAACGGCTACAAATCAGTGATGATTGGTGTTAATCTCAGTGGTCGGGGCTTCCAGCACGGAGACAGCGCCGAACTACACGAACTGCGTGAGAATCTGCAGGCAGCCAATCAGAAATGGACACAGGCCTGTGCGGCCCTAGACAGCTGGGAACACCGACTGCATCAAGCACTCATGGAGTGCCAGGTAAGGAAAAACAAGCTCGAAAAGTGACACTGATCCCAGAGTTAAGACACTACAGCAAAGTACCATGAGTGTTTTTTGTTTTGTTTTGCAACTGCAACACAAGATGCTTTTAGTAAGCTCATGTCTCTGTGCCTTCACACACTTGCACTTGTTACTTTTTGTGTTGGTGAGATTTTATCTCAGGATACAAACATAAGTTTTCAACAAGTTTGTTGAAAAAGGTTTTAGAAATGCTGGGGTACACGTTGTTCTTAAAGCTACAGCATACCGTGACAGACTTGTATCAAATGTAATTAAAATGTCATTATCATTTAATTTTTTTAAAAGCCAGCTTTGGGGGCAAATTATGTGCTATTTTTTCCTGTAACTTCCTTTAGGGCTTTTGTAAAGATGACCTGTGAGAAACACAGACTCATCTGTTTATTCCATTTTCTTTTTCACAGGAGTTTCACGAGACTCTTCACTCTCTGCTGCTGTGGTTAGCTAAAGCAGAAAGCCAGCGCTACATGGTCAACATCCATGACCAAAACACAGACCTTAACATCCTGCAAGAGCATCGAGACACGCTCAAGGTAGAATAGTGTGCTTGTGTGCTGTTATTGTACAATACATAATAATGCCCCCACAAAAATGTGATGAAAAAACGATTAATTGTGGGACAACATTTCTTCATATCTTAATATGTGGGTTGTTGTTATCTGTGCATAACAGGCTGTTCAGCAGGACTTACAGTCTCGTGAGAGGGAGGTGCACTGCCTGCAGGAGATCTCCTCACAGATCCTGCTACAGGACCAGGGAGAAGACACTCTGGAGGCCAAAGAGAAGGTTCACGTCATCAGCAACAAGTTACGACTGTTGATCAGACAGATTGCACACGATCTACACACGCTTCAAAGCAGACTGGTACGTTTCATCCAGTCTCACACACACAAGCACAAGCTTTCTCTGCAGGCCAGGCGGGTTTCACTCTCACGCACTGATGTTTTGATCCTTTATGTTCTATTGCAGGACTCAGCTGATCCAAATGTAGGCAGGACAGCATCAACACAACAGCAGGTACAGAAACACTCTCTGCATTAACACCCTGTTCAGACTGGAAATTACAAAGCTCTGACTTCATAATATAGATTTTGTCTTCTAACGCTGCTCTTGGGGAGTTTGGTTTTGAAAGTAACAGTAAATGAGGGTTTTCTAAGAATCTCTAGTCTGTGTTTATCATGATTACTTGATGGTATAACAAACACTGAGTCATTTCTCTGATCTCTCTAGGAAGCCGCAGGAGTTCAGGCTGTTACACGGGGATCTCCTGCGAGTGTCAGGTACACACTGATAGTATTACTATGCATCTGTGTTCAGTTGTGAGATTTTGCGATCTTGTATGACCTTGCTGAAGTGGATTTCTTCTAGTACTCTCCTCACACCCTCTAGTTCTTCTCACTTTCACACATCTGCTCCACTTTCACCTCTCGAAAGATTCAACATGTACTTTATGCTGACCTTCACAAGCCACAAAGTTAAGAAATAACTCGCATTGAATTATGCATAGCTGATAAATAACATATTGATTTTTTTTAAGCAACATCCTCGTTTTAGGTTAAAGGTTCAAAAGTTTGGGCTCAGTAAGATTTTTTTTTTTTTTTAAGATTAATACTTTTAATCACCAAGGATGCCTTAAATTGATCAAAATTTATAGTAAAGACAATATTAATGTTACAAAATATTTTTTATTAATAAAAAAAAACTGTTTTCACCAAAGATCCTTAGTTTCCACAAAAATATTAAGTTTGGGGTTGGTAAGATTTTATAATGTTTTTGAAAAAAAAAAAAGTCTGTTATGCTCACCAAAGCTACATTTATCTGATCAAAGATACAGTAAAAAAGTAATAATGTTAAATATTATTACAATTAAAAATATTGTTTTGTACTATTGTGATATATTTTAAAACATACTTTATTTCTGTGATGGCAAAGTTGAATTTTCAGTGTCACATGATCTTTCAAAAATAATTTATATATATATATATAAATATATTATGTATATAATTTAGTGGTCAAGAAACATTTATTATTATTAATATAAAAAAACATTGTTGGCTTCTTTGATCAATAAAAAGTAAACAATGTAACAATGTAAGTATTTACTGTTACTTTTGACCAATTTAATGCATCCTTCCTGAATGTTTATTTAAAAAAATATTACTAAACCCAAACATTTTAGCAGTAGCGTAAAAAATTTAGACTGTCTAACAATTACTGTCTGTGTTTCTGCAGGGCTGACAAGTCTGATTCGTCCCCAGCGAGGCCGTTCCTGTATCGTGTCCTACGAGCAGCTTTTCCCCTCCACATCCTCTTCCTGCTGCTGCTGGTTGTGGCTTGTCTGGTGCCTCTCTCAGAGGACGACTACAGCTGCACTCTCTCCAACAACTTTGCCCGATCCTTTTACCCCATGCTCCTCTATACCAACGGACCCCCACCCACATGAGAACTACACGTACCCTTCACTAACACACAGCCATAGCTCATTCAGTAGAGGAAATGGGGCGTAGTCCAAGCCTCCCGGTTTACTCTCCTGTAGCAGATCCTGTAGCTCTGATTAATCTGAGTGAAAGCCCTTGTGTTTGGGATTCAGTAGATTGTCCTGCAACAATCAAATCTTGTTCCTGGATCCGAGGACTGTTGCACATGGAGAGTGATTTTTTCTGAAGCAGTCCAAAACTTTCCTCATGATGTATATTTGTATTTTTAGAGAACGGCAAGGACTCCTCATCAAAGGTGCACTCATTTTTTAATTGTAAAGTATGTAGCAGCACATTCATTGAAACATTGAAATACTCTTTCACACAAATGTATTTATTTTTGACATATAAATGACATAATTGAACCCTATAGGCTTTGAGTCGGCCTGTATTGTTTAACTAGAAGCCCTGAGCTGTCTGAGTGATTGAACTTGCTTGAATATTAGTTAGAATATTGTTTCTAGGAGTCAGTGTAAAATGACTTGCAATGATGAATAAATTTTATTTGTAGCTCTCTTAGCTACCATTTTCTTGGTCAAAGCCATGGAGGAGAGACACAAAGAGGCATCAGGGTGTGTGCAAATGTTATGTTTAATTTATTCAGCCTAAAGTTTGGTGGCTGTGTTGTTTTTATGTGTGTGTGTGAATATTGTAAAACTATTGAAATTATTTAATTATAATTGGTAAATGATCTCAGTGGAGATATAAATTATATCTGATTATGTTTTATTGTTTATAGCTAGAATTTTTCAGGCAGGAAAATCTGGTACCCAGATGTGTTTGTGTCTGGTGTGTTTTGATGGTAAAGGTGTCTCGTAGAAACACATTTCAAAAGTATCCACATGACTGTATGTGGCTTTTATTTTATTTTGAACCTACAGAAAGTCTGGAGAAAAGCCATTAGTCACTCTTTCACTCATACTAACTGCCAAAGTGTCAGAGACGTTGTTTTATAATTCATCACAGTTGCTAAAATAGTGCTGTTCGTCTTGTTTGATGTTTTTAATTGAATTGTTATAGTATAGATTACATTATGGGTCAACTAAAATAGACTATGATATAAAGTATCCATTAATCACAGAAAACATTCACTTTATTATGAATTTATTTTGCAGTAAACCTTGCACTGCCAATGTCAAACACTGGTTGAAGACAATATAAAGATGTTTGTGTTTTTTTGAGTTTGAAGTCAATTTTCCTACAAATAAACATCGTACAAATATGCACGTGTTCACTTATTTAATTCCCACATATTTATTTAATATGCAGCTGAATACAATAAAATGTATTTAGTTTTGCTACCTGTAGAAACGTACTGTTGTGTCAGTGTATCATCAGTATATTCTTTCCTGTTTAAAGCCGGTGTAATTGTTTTTTTTTTTTCAGTTTAACCAGATAAATAAAAGTAGGTTAATTCCCCAAAAACTGTAAACACAGTGAAGCTATTAAAATGCTGTTAATTTGAGCATCTATGCTCAATAGTGGCATTGGCTCAGCCAATGACATTAGTTTGGGACTGTGTTTGTCCAACCAATGACAAATGAGGGAGTGTGTGGGAAAATGTTTGAAAATTACTTTCATGTTGTGTTCTAAACAAGATAACTCCACCTCTGAAGGGCACTTCAGAATGAAGGATTTCAACGGGTATAACTGATGGACACTTTGCTTCCATGATTCTTTGTGCGACAACGGTGCCACGTTAATTTGCTTAGCAAAATGATGCAGAAGTGGTTTGCAAGGAACAATTTTTTTTTTGGTCCCCTACACCCGTCATCCCTTCGAAGCACTGACTCTGGAGGGTAAACCCTTCGAAGGGATAAGGGCACTGGGATGAGCCCACCAAAATGGAAGGCAGCATTGCAACTACTTGGTGACGTGCAAAAATTATACACTGCAGCTTTAATGCAATTGCTGCTTCTCTGGACACTTCAGGTGCAGAATATGAACAAGGATGCACCGTTATTAACACTTGTAGCACCAGAAAACTCAGCTGCATCTGTAATTACACATTACAAAGTATAATATAATTTGATACACTTTTCAAGTGTTGATTGTGCATCTTAAGCCAGGCTTTAAGAAAACATCTGAAAGAGGCATCAACACTCCCAGATGTTTTTAAAAGCGTTACATTTACTGTCAGTGACAAGTACTTTATAAACCACGAGAAGCAACACAGAACCGCAAATAACAGCACACTTAAATGTCTTACAAATACACAGACACAAGAGTACAAAATGCATAAACTATTAGAAGTGTGTGTTTCATTTAGCTCGGCCAGTCTTCAGAGAAACAGTCATGTTTCTTAAGTCAGAGGTTCTCTGACATCTTGGATGGCAAACCAAATATTTAAATGTGCAGCGTGTAATTTCGGCAATCTGTTTGAATGGCCCAAAAGGACACAACATAGCACTGGCTCAACCAATGGCATGATTTAGGGGTGGTGCTAGCTGAGAAATGGCAGATGGGGGAGTGTTCGTATGTTGTTTAAAACAGTTTCTTGCTACTGTTTACCACAGAAATTACACACTTCACATTAAAAGGATTCCATTTGTGATTTCTTGAATACTGAAAACATGATTGGTTTGAATAAGAAGGATTCCTCTTCAGGTTGACATTATGGCATAATAGGAAAACAACAGTTCAAACTGCATTGTGTTGAAGCAAGACTGAGCGCCATTTGAAAGCCCTGTTTGGTTCAGGTTGTTGATGGTCATCTAAGTTTTTTTTCCAGGTCTGGTTTGAATCCCCCACGACCCTACATTGGACAAGCGGCTTGGAAATTGGATTCATATCCAATGCTGCATCCAGGGAGATTTTTACCCCACAGAAGGGATACTGTCAGTCTGTGTCCATGTCCACTCGATGCAGACTAGAACGTAATGTCTCTTCAGCTCTAGAGAGGCAGACACAAATATGTGTTAGCTTAGATGAGAAAACCTTGCGTGAAAAATCTCATTTTAAGAAATATATAATGATTCATTTGATTGTAGTTGAAGGAATACTCCAGGTTCAACATGATACAGCCTGTTTAACGTAGTTTGTAAAACAAACAAAAAAATCGTGTGAACAGGAAAGTTTTTAAAGGTAAACTTTTAAAAGGCTGCAGTTATTTAATCAAAAATACAATCAAAACAGTCATTTAGTGAAATATTATTACAATTTAAAATAACTGTTTTCTATTTGAATATATTTCAAAATGCACTTTATTCCTATGATGGCAAAGCTGAATTTTCAGCATCATTACTCCAGTCTTCAGTGTCACATGATCCTTCAGAAATCATTCTAATATGCTGATTTGCTGCTCAAGAACATTTCTTATTATAAGTGTTAAAAACTGTTGTGCTGCTTAATATTTTGTGTAAACCATGATTAATTTTTTCAGGATTTGTTGAAAAAATTTGTTGCTGTTTTAAAAAAAAAAAAACAGCATTTATTTGAAATAGAAATCTTTTCTAACATAGTAAACTATTTTGCAACAAAATCAAAGTCTTTGCTGTCACTTTTGATCAATTTAATGCATCCTTGCTGAATAAAAGTATTAATTTCTTTTTATTTTTTTCTGACCCCACCCTTTTGAATGGCAACCAGTTACATAAACTTAACTATCATTTGGATATCTTGTGGTTATCTTTTAATAAACTTGTGGGTGGATTTTTCACAAAATATGATTTCTGTATTACTAAAAATGGCACAATTCAACACGAGTGTGCATGTATGGATACACTCACTGTGGACTGTGCCGGGTCTCCTGGTTGCTCTCTTTCAGCGCAGGCTGCTGTCTGGATGTGTGGAGGATCTCTGTGGTCTGTTGTGTGTCCGACCGGAGAGAGGCTTTTGTGTGAGCCGCTAGCATTCGGCTGCTCTGGGATGTGTTGGCATCCAGCATCTCTAGCAGAAGATCATACAGCAGCACCACGTTTTTTCTCTTCATGGTTGACAGATGCTCGATGCCTTTGTTGCTATGGATAACAGAAGAAAGGAACAGTGAGCCAGTGAAAATTGAAACAAAATGCTGTGAAAGTATATAATACAACCCCTGTGAGATCACAAACACAGTCTGCTGTGGTACCTGAGGTGTCGAATATGTGAGAGCAGCATTAGCAGATGGGCGAGCCGGATGGACTGTTGCTGTGAGGACAAGCCTGACCTGGAGATGGTCCAAACTAGAGCGTCAGTCACAGAGTCCAGCAGCCTCAGAACCTTGCCACGGCTCTCCACATCTTCAGGAGTTTGTGGCAAGCTTGAACAGTTATCTGTTAACAAGCACACAACAGAAGTGAATCACAACATCTGATGTGGTTAAAGAGATAACAGTTAATTTTGTGATAATATGACTGAACAAAGGTTACCATCTAGCCACAACCTTTTCATAGAGTCATCAATCAGACTGCAGTTTTAACCCTGTAAAGCCTGACATACAAAATAATAGCCTGAAAAAAATATATTCTTTTAATTGAACAGTCAGACAAAAAAAAAAAAATAAATTTTATGGCTCATATAGTGTGATATACTGTAGTGAGAATATGGAGCTCATATGTGACCCAGGACTACAAAACCAGTCATAAGGATAAATTTTTCAATTTATACATGAATAAATAAGCTTTCCATTGATGTATGGTTTGTTAGGATAGGACAATATTTGGCCGAGATACAACTATTTGAAAATCTGGAATCTGAGGGAGCAAAAAATCAAAACATTGAAAAAAATTGCCTTTAAAGTTGTCCAAATGAAGTTCTTAGCAATGTATATTACTAATCAACAATTAAGTTTTGATATATTTATGTTAGGAAATTTACAAAATATCTTCATGGAACATGATCTTTACTTAATATCCTCATGATTTTTGGCATAAAGAAAATTCGATACTGTTGACCCATACAATGTATTTTTGGCTATTGCTGCAAATATACCCGTGCTACTTAAAACTGGTTTTGTGGTCCAGGGTCACATATTTGAGGGGGAAAAAAATTATTTTGACCTCCGCTTTATTTAGAGGCTCAAACTGAGCAAAAATATACAATTTGGTGTAATGTTGTTATTTATATAACGAAAAAAAATAAAATGAAATGTTAATGTAATGTAATGTAAATCAATTATGTTTGTAACAGTCTGGCAGACTACTAAGTGCATAAATATCATTTGCCACTGTATATCTCCAGATAATACATCTAGTAAGATGATATTTAAATGCTTAGTTTTGTGATCAAAACATAATGCAGTGCAATGTAATATAATAATGAATGAGAGATGTACAAACAAACATTCATCATATTTTAAACTCAGATTTTAACATGATTTTTCTAAAAAAAAAAATTAAAAAAAAAAAAGTATATTCAAATAAATCTAAGTTGCTTCAGCCCGGTAGGTGTTCTTTAAATATTACTTACAATATAAAAGTTATTCTTACATTTGCTTTATTAAAATCATTAAAGATTTCAGACCGAAAAGACGCGTACCACAATATCGAGGACATTTTTACAATTATACTAAAAGGCCTTTGCTTTTTAAAAAAATATGATCTATCAATCAAAGTTCAGAAGGCATGTTTTCAGCAAAATTTTGATCATGTTGATTATTTAATCACGTATAAAAGATATTCATGTATCAAAGATGATACAGTAGGCTTTATAGGGTTAAAACACAAGAGGGCGGCATTGGCAGGAGACCACACCAGTCATGTAAATATAGTTTGCATGTTGTAATTAGTATGCCCTACTACAGTTATGTAGAGGAAAAAAAACAAGATACAAACTGCATTTTAATCTCGCACAATAACGTACACACACACAATCAGAATAGTGTCATACTGGAGTTGAGAAGGATCATGGCTTTGAGGCAGACGTATTCCTCTCTCTGAAGCTTCAGTTCTCTGAATCTGGAGGTGGTGGCCAGCAGCATGTCAAAGATCTCCATGATGCCTTCAACACAGGTCCCTTCATCCCTGAAAGAATTAGAGAGAAAGAAAGAAAGAAAGAAAGAAAGAAAGAAAGAAAGAAAGAAAGAAAGAAAGAAAGAAAGAAAGAAAGAAAGAAAGAAAGAAAGAAAGAAAGAAAGAAAGAAAGAAAGAAAGAAAGAAAGAAAGAAAGAAAGAAAGAAAGAAAGAAAGAAAGAAAGAAAGAAAGAAAGAAAGAAAGAAAGAAAGAAAGAAAGAAAGAAAGAAAGAAAGAAAGAAAGAAAGAAAGAAAGAAACAAACAAACAAACAAACAAAAAAAGAAAGAAAAAAAGAAAAGGTTTGAAAAAGAGATAAAAGGGAAAAAGGCCAATCACTTAAGCCATAAATGTCTTGTGACTAATCACCACCACAAGAACATGCACAATCCCAAACTATCCTCAACTATGTCAATAAAGGAGACGGGAAGAAATTAAAGTCCATTTTACAATTTTAGGAGCCTGG